GGTTGTCATGGTGTATGCACCTCTTTTTACAGTTACTTCCTACTCAGAACATCAGGATAAAGGCAGAAAATATTTAGCATATGTGGACTTTCAGACTGAAATTCTCATTATGGGTCCTCTGTAGTAGGCTGGTTATACCGGCAAACACAACGAAACAGAACTATTTATTACCATATTCACTTAACACTAAATGTGTCAGGCAATGTTCTAGGATCTTTACATATGCAATTTCCTTTAAGCATCTCAACAACTCTATGAAGTAGTTATGATTGTTTCCATGGAGATGAAGAACCTGAGACTAAGAGAGGCAAAATAATGTGTGCAAGGCTATAAGATTCACGAATGGGAAGGTGGGATTCAAACATCTTTCTGACTTTGAGGTCTTCTTCTTGACCAATATACGACAATGCACTTAATCTTCATAATAAGTCTACTTATTATCCCCACTTAACAGATGGGAAAACTGAGGCTCAGAATTCAATACCTTGTCAAGAGTTACACTCATCTATGAAGTGGCCCATTCGAAATTAAATCAGGGTCAGTGAAGCCCTTCTCCTTCAAATCACCCTATCCAGTTGACACTGTGCCACTAATAATTGTGCTTGAGGCACTCTTGTGAAGTCATTATCCTTTACTATTTTTATTTATCTTCAAATTATTTACTTGAATAAAAAGAGAAGAAAACAAAACAAGCAAAAACATGTCTCATTCCTGCAGTGATGCAAAAAGAGTGGCTCTGGTTGGAAGTATAAAAACGTGAGTCCTGAGTTATTTCAGGCCCATCCAGTAACCTCAATACACCTTCTCCCCGTGGACGCAAAGCAGCATATGGCTGTTCTTTTTGAAGTTCAGGCTCTGCTGTTTACTCTGAACCTCTAGGTTACAATCTGTTTTGTAAGCGTTAATAAAGACCACCTGTTTCTTGAGAGATTCGGCCTAACAAAATGGAGAGACCTACTTGTTCCAATTCCCTCGCAGATAGACAATACAGCTTTCATGCACGGACTGAGATTGTTGAATAGAACACCTAAATCAAAATAGACAATTATACTAACTGATATAGTTGCTAAATTAAGAACATATGTTAGTTCCATAAAAAAGAAAAAGAAACAATAACATTTGGAACAATAAAAAGAATGCTTTTGAGGAAATAAAAGACCTCATAATTTTCCAGCAAAAAGAAAAGAATAATCTACTTTTTATAAAATAAAAATTCTTTCACTGCACTAAGACACATTCAGGGCAAATTTGTTGCATTCGTATATGCTTAATCATACACCCTCTGTGTACAAAATTATCTTATGGTTGAATTCAGCAAGAAAAACTGGCTCTTTGAAAATAAGCAGAATTCAGTCTAATAACTGGCTGATAAACGTTTACCATTGAAAGTGTGAAATCTATTGTAAATCTGGTTTAATAGAGTAAGGAGAGACGGAGTATATGGGGAAGAGTTCCCTCCCTGATCTTCAACACAACCCCCAAACAGCTGTCAGGCCAGATTAGGAACCTCGCTCTAAGCTGCCATTGCTAAGCCATGTACACACCTTCCTCAGTGTACCTGCCTCACTGCACTAGGATTGTTGGTTTGGTGTCTATCATTCTAGACTGTGAGCACCCTGAGAGCAGGGACCACATATTCACTCTAGTCCCAACACTTGGCACAGAGTATGTGCATAGAATGAACTTACCAAATCCACTCAAAATTAACTGCTAGGTGACAATACCTAGCCACATGCTACCACAGGGAAAGAAACTATGTATTTATCTTACATAAAGTTTACTTTCTAAGTACAGATAGATTTTCTAAAGTATTAAGGCCAATATTAAGGACAAGCAGAAACAATGAGCTGTGGAGACAAATGGTCAGCATTTTAAACGTGGAGATTCTTTCTGAACTTTCTAAAGCAAACTCAAGGGCCTCTCTAATAGGACGTTTACTTCTCTAGTCACAGACTCACCATCCGACCTCCCACTGACCATATAGAATCATGAGATCCTGGATTAGTAATAGGTAATGTTTGTGGATTTCATGGGTGCCAGGCCCTGGACTAAATGCTTTATTTTATTTCATTTAATTCTTATTACAACCATATGAAGTAGGTGCTACTAATTTTTCCATTTTCCATATGATGAAATTGAGGCAAAGAATTTGCTTGGTGCCTTGCCTGAGTTCTAAGCAGAATTTTATGAAATCTGTTGCTTTCCAAGCACCTCCTGTTCCACCTGAGGCAAGTGACTGACCAACTCCCAGTGGGAAACAATCATTCTGTTTGCCCTGCTAAACTCCAGAATTCAACCCTCGACTTTCAACCAATCCCCAAGGTCGAATTCACTCTCTTGCCTCCTGGGAGTTCCATCTCTGTTTCAGTAAAGCTAGCACCGCTATCTAGTTATAAATGGTTATAATCATGCATGAGAAATAATTCTTACACATTGTTTTGTTATATTTTATGAACAATGCACAATAATAGACATAAAACTTTCACACACTATTAAATGAACATAAAAGAGCAGCTTGAGATTCAGTATGAAGTTCTATAATAAATATATCATGCATATATAGGGAGATATGTGTGTGTGCTTATGTGTACTTCTGTGTATGATTATTTTAGCTATCCTCGTATTATATATTAGGTCACATATTTTTCAACCACTGAATTTTGTGATATAAATCTTTAATCATAAGAATATAATAGGCAATTTGGCATTAATAAAAGTCAGATAAAAAGTAGCTTCCTCATTTTAACCCTTATCAAATTTTCTTTGTCATGTTTCATTATTTTATTTATTTTTTTGTGAGGAAGATTAGCCCTGAGCTAACATGTGTTGCCAATCCTCCTCTTTTTGCGGAGCAAGATCGGCCCTGGGCTAATAGCCGTGCCCATCCTCCTCTACTTTATATGGGATGCCGCCACAGCATGGCTTGACAAGCGGTGCCTCAGTCCGCAGCCAGGATCCGAACCTGGGAACCCCTGGTCGCCGCAGCGGAGCGCGTGCACTTAACAGCTACACCACCGGGCCAGCCCCATGTTTCATTATTTTATTTCATATAGGTCCACTTTCAAAAGGGCTCTTGCCAAAAAGCTATTGATTTTCATATTGGTGTCAATAACCTGTAGTGTTATCAAAGCTATGTTTCAACAAATGTCAATTTGGGTTGCAGAATGGTGGATAAGATTTCATTAGGCTGCTACACATAGTAAATTGTAGATACACGGTCTTACATGTACAACAATAGTTGGAAATATAAGCTGTCTTTGTGCATTATTGAATGCAGAACTCTGATAACTGTCAGGAAGCCGTGTCAGAGACAATAAATCATAAATATTCTAGCTTTGTTATTTCTCATCATCTGCTTCTTTGCTGAGAACTTTGGTGACTGATGCTGCATAAACATATCACTTCTAGGGCTGTATTTGGACATACAGAAGTTAAAAATGTATTAAAAATACCAAATTGAGGTTTTTTGAGTGGGTTCAAAACCAAGAAATCACATGTGCAAGTGTTACACACAGACAAGAACGATCTGTCTCCCCGTCCTCATGTACGTCATGAGCTTTTACCTTCTGTCTAGGATAAGCTGTAGCTAGGAAAGGAACTTAATTATTCGTTTAGGAAATGAACTCAACACTCACAGTGTTATGGTAGTTTTGAGAATTAAGAAGAGGAGATACTTCCATTAGAGAAAAGAGTGAAATACACATTAAAATAATAAAACAGTAGAAGAATATTTGAAGCCTTTTATTTGAAGCATTTTAAAAGCATCTTACTGCCTAAAGAGGAAACACTGCCATGGTAGAAATTTCTTGGCCTCTCGGCTCCTGTAAATAGTCTTATATTACAGATGTAGAAGAGATGCTGTGTGAATGAACTCTAATCCTTAGCTGAGACTATAGGGCATGCTCCCTACTTCTCCATACCTGAAGAAGCCAGTGTGCACTGGTATGGCGCCACAGCTGTTCAAATGTGAAATAATTCCTTACCCAATGGTAAATGTATGCTGCTCCAACCACCCCTCCACCCTCCCCTTGCAGCCGCCACCAGCCCTGTGCCCTGTGACCTCCTGGGCCTCCTTTATCTGTCAAATTCAGGATTAGCTTCCTGTTCCAGAACCCCTTACAATTTGTGGGTGCCAGTACCAGGCAGCTCTCCCCAAAATCCCCAAAGACCCCTTCCCTAGGAGAGCCCCTCTTGAGGGCCACTCACCAGTCAGGCACATCTGATGAAGCTCCTCCACTTTGCAGCCATCCAGTGTGCCACACCCACCAGGTCCCCCACCAGATCCCAGTGTGAGAGAAAGAGCTCCTGGTGGCGGCACGGCACTCAGGCAGGCCAATGTCCTGTCACTTTTGGCGCCATCTCCAGGCCCTGGGACCTAGCTTTGGACTGGGCTATCCAAGTTGACCTCACATGCCCTTTGACCTTGATAGCACCAGAGGTAGAGAGGGACAGCAGGCAGCCCTAAGGGCTGTTAAATAATCTGAACATTCCTTTTGGATACATCAACTTCCTCCAGTGTTGCAATTGAAAGAAGTAATGTAAATACAGATCGTGATTCACTTCCATCAATCAGATGTAGCCATAGGTCTCACCTTATGGGCAAAGGTGAAATAAACTTATTTTTAGGCCCTAACTTTATCATTCATGGCACACTCTGTCACCCCCCCCCACAACCACACACACACACACACACACACACACGCAAAGTGTACAAATGAACAAGTGAGTCTTTCAGAAAAAGGCAAAATTTCCCTAAGTGTATAATCAATTAAAAAGAAATAACATCTTTCATTAAATCCCTACAGTTATCAGGAGATTTCTCTACAGACATTTAAGACTTTCCATAACACTTTAAAGTCGAAAGAAGGATCAAATCATACATTTTTGGAAAATTTATTTACAAGAAATCTATTCTAACGAAAGTTATATTATATACTTAAAAATAAAGCATTCCTCCCTGAGAAATATATATATTAATGGACGTTTATATTGATACTTGCTTTTAGATGAAGCTGATTGGTCCAGTGCCCAATGATTTTGTATTCCGTACTTTTGTTGGTTATTTGATATTGGAAGATATCATAGCGTCCAGGAGCATCTCCGTTTTCATTAAAAGTGACAGGTGTTCCAGCACTACCTATAAATGTTTAGAAAACAATGTTAATCAAGTTTTAGTAAGATAGCCCACTGGGTTTATTTTTCTCTAGGAAAGAATGGTAGATAAAAATATATTGCATGTAGTAAGAGATATGAAGATTGTAATCCATACAAGGTCCTTCTTGATTGGATACTATTTTTTCCATGAAAAGAGGCCCAGATGTAAATACAGGAAGAAGACATGCTTTATTATGCACTTTAGAAAGTAACTGACGAGTATCCAAGTTAGACAATGTACATAACAGTTAAATAAAAGTCGACAGACTGAATACTTAAAACTGGCTACAGAGAATAACAGTTAATAGAGAAGAGTGTAAACGTCTTGAAGCATAACAGCTATTGTACAATATGATCTACAAAGAGCAACTTAAAATGTAGCAGGAGAATGTCCCAGCTAGATTCCCTAGAGTTTTACTTTATTCTGACTTCAACTCCACTCTGCAGCAGTTTCCCATTCAATTTCTCTTCTAAGCCTCTGCTCCTGCTACCTGTGCCCAAGAGTATATCAATGTGGACTGCTGTTGGGAATCTCTCAATGGGTGAGGCAGTGACCGCTGGGAAGCCCCAATGCTGTTCAGATCATAAAAGTTCCCCTGATTCACTGTGATGAGCGTAATAGTGGCAGGGCAGCAGGATGCCAGAAATGTAGTCCTTTCTAAACTCCCATTTCTCTCGGGAGATTTCATCTTTTCTCTTAATAGTTTCTGCTCACTTTTACTTTCCTTCTTATTAACTTTTATATAATCACAGGTTTTAAGTGTAGAAAGGGATCACTACCCCCAATGTTTTCTTGTTCCATTTGGCCTCACTATCTATACAGACCTTCCTTTCCTCTGACAGCCTTTAGACCCCCTGCATCTTCTTGGATCACTCTTTGCTGTCTTGACAAATTCACCTGACATCAATCCCTTTTCTTTGTGCCTATCTTCTCTTTGCAGATCCCCTTCCCTAAATTTCTTCTCACTGCATATCAGGTGTAGAAAGTTTCTCCTTCTTGTTACCTCTTTTCCGTATTGTACTCTCCAAAAATACGTACTACTAATAGTTATATATGTGAACTCCATATATTTCCATCTTATAATGGAGTTTCTTATTCTACTTGTAGAGTTATTTAACTAAAACCAATAATCACAAAATTCTAAAACATTTAACTTAAACAAATGAATGACTTAAGACAATAAAAAAATACAATCAGAGTCACACAGAGGCCAGTAGGGTACTTTCCTAGTATTTAATGGAGAGATGTCTAATGTTCTCTGTTCCCTGGAATCTTCCTAAAATCTGAACACAGTGTGAAGTCTCTGATGAGACCACTGAAACCCGGTATCTGCAAAAACTGCTAAGGCCACAAGAGATGGCACAGCATGAGGGAAAGAGCACTGGTCTGAGAGTCAAGAGCTGCATGTCCACGCTAACTCCACTTCCCCATTTATTTTCTCAACGTGTGTATGTCTGTTTTTCTCTACTTTTTACATAGGGACTTAACAATGAATATGAACATATTTTGAAGTCCTAAACAGCTGTATGCATTAAAATTATTATTATTATTAGTTCATATGGAAAATGACTTTATACACAAATCAAGAAAGAAAGAAGGAATTGGAGAATAAAATTGGAGCTCTCCAATGAACCGGTACTATCTTAGATATTCAAGTAGAATATCTGTCACACCTGACCCAAACCTTTTCTAACTCCTAGTGACTTGGAGCAGGTTAACCTTTTAAATCCTGTTTCCTCATCTGAAAAATGGGGATAATAATGACACTTTTCTCATAGAGTTGTTGTGAGAATTAAATGAGCAAATACTTATTAAGTGCTTAGAACAATGCATGGGTAATTAGATATTATGGTTAATATTATTCAGCCCACATGTATTTTCAGTACACACCAATGCCCAGTAATAGATAGGATGTTGAGAGTTCTTTAAGTGACATCTAGACAAAGGATTATGGAAATTCAAATGGGAAAAGGATTCCTGGATGGAAAAATACATACCAGTTAGGAATTTCAAAACAACATCATCAACAGTTCTTGACATTTATAGACCACTTCAAAAAATTCTGATGTTATATTCTCGCTGAATAAAGAAATATTTAATTTTCTCTAATGAAAATCCCCAATGTTGTCACATCCCTCACTGAATGACTCCTTATCTCCTACAAGAGCAAGCCCAAGCTTTTTCACCATAATGATATACAGGCTAAAAGAATGCCACTTGTTGAACACATTCTCATGAATGTACTCTGAGTTATACATAACTCCTAGAGTGTCTGTTGTTGCTGCATCTCTTTTCTCCAACTCAAGAAAGTATATTGGAAAGCAAGTGAATGAGAGCCATAGTACCACAAAAATAATAATTCGCCAACTTAGGTACTTCAAATATCATTATTAATAGCAAGTTACACTAAATTTGACATTGCACTAAAAGGCAATATACTAAAGTGGTTAGGAGTGGGGGTTTTGGAGCCAGATTGTTGGGTTCAAACCCAAGCTCTGTCACTTCTTAGATGCATGATCTTGGGTAAAAGTTACTTAATTTCCTTGTACCTCACTTGCCTCATTTCTAAAATGGGCTAATATTAATTCCCACTTCAGAGGGATATGTGAGGATTAAATGAATCAATATATGTAAAACATTTAGTTCACAGTGAGCATTATATAAGTGTTAACTAGTATTTCCTTTATTGTTTTATGGCAATGCTGTATTTGAGATTCAGTGTCTGCAAGAGAACATATGAACCTCTCAGTGAGTATATATGGCTTTCCTGAAGTCACTCTTACTAATTTCTGTTCTCTTCTTTCAATACAATGCACATATACCTAACATTCTGTTGTCTCAATTCACCATGCTCTTTCTCAACATCCTATCTTTGCACATGTTATTTTCTGTAAGTTTCCTTCCTCCTTCCTCCTAACCCTTCTTCTCTACATACTTCCTTCATGATGTGGCTCAAAAGTCACACACATAGAAACTTGATCTTCTAAACCTGGAGCAGGGACCCAGGTGCGTCTTCATGTCCTAACCTGCGCTATCATAGCACTTGCTACACTCCACACATTTTCATTATTCATCCTCATACTGGATCAAAACTTTTATTTAACAGATATTTATTGAGAGCCTACTACATGCTCGACACCTGGTGAACTCTTGGCGTTCCTCACAAAACTATGGTCTCCTTAGTAAAGGCAGAGTGTGTTTCTTATCTTTGTAGGAACTGCACCAAAGACAGCGCTCAATATTGAGTGAGCAACCAATAAATTACAAAAAAGCATGAAAGATATATCACCTAATGATCCCAAGCAAATCAATGCTAACCCTCTTCATAACATTATGAACTTCATTTATACCACTTCTTATCTTTGACATTCACAAATGAAGGGACCATATCAGTCCCTTTCACATTGTTGTCAGTGTGATGTTAGAAAGCACTCTTGCAACTTGTTTTATGAATCTGATTTCTGATCTTAGGCTAGGCTTGCAGTTGAATTACCTCAATCCTTTCATAGGCAGAGCTGACTCCATTGTATATTGGCTCATCCTGAATAACTGCCCTGGTACTGTGGTCTATGTAACACAGAACATCCTTGAGAAGCCATGCTGTTTACTAATTTCTACAAGTTTGTCCTATTTTTTAAAAGATCATCCTTTGTACTGAACCTAGTCATCCTGAAAAACAGAATTAAGTAGCATTTTGTCCAGAAAAAAATTTCAAATTGAAAATATCTCAATATATCCATCACTTTCCAGATGAGAGGTGGTATAAATGAAGTTCATAATGTTATGAAGAGAGTTAGCATTGATTTGCTTGGGATCATTGGTTCATCAACAACATAGGTAAGAAATATATATATATGTATATATTGGATTAGGCTAAATTCAGGCATATATTTTACATGATAAATTATGCTCCAGCAAATTTTCTTGTTTTGTTTCTTTCCATCCTGCACTTTAGGTATTTCGGAAATCTTGGAATGCATTAATATTTTTAGATACTTCTCATCTATGTGCACTAGTGGAGAAATGGACACAACAGGGAATAGTGAGGGAATTTTTACTAGCCAGCTGCTGCTCTCAGAGTCTGCACATCTCCCTGAATATTTTCTGTTCAATAAGGAATGTGTGGAAAAAATAGTTTTATTACTAGGTATATCTAACACTTCAACGTGCTTTTGTAAGAAAAATGATACATCCAATGAATATTTTATTTGAAAATGTTCGCTGTTTTGAATATTGTTCTGGGGAAGAGTACAGGCTTGGGGTTCAGGGACCAGAGTTTGATTTCTGGCTCTGCCCGTTAACCTGGGTGATCTGAACAAGTTACCCTCCCTAAGCCTGTTTTCTCAACTGTCAAGGGGGCATAATAATCCCAACCTTCCTGGGCTGTTACAAGGGTTACATGAGACGATGCATGCGAAGCACTTAGTGTGTGACTGGAGTGCAAAAGGTGTGCAATAAATGGCGACTATCATCATCATTATCCATTCCTTTGTCTGCATCTATTCTCCCTCGATCTACATTTTCTTGTTTCCACAATGCAAAACGTAATGCAAGAATAATTCATTCACCTTTATGGGCAAATATTGTAAATATATTTATCAGGGTAAGCCACTCTGTGTATTGTCAAATTTATTACTTTCCTTCCTCCCTCTTGCTACCAAAACTTTATCCATTTTCCTATACACAACCGCTTACACTATTGAGTAAGCTGGAAAAAATAAGAAATCTAAAAATGAAATCAGTTAATTTAGTAATTTTTAGCACCCTTAAAAGAAGAATGAATATATGAGATTTAAGTCGTTGACCAAAATGCCATAGGAAACAGCAATTTTTAACAGAATCTCAATTATTCATGCTCTCCCTTTCCTTATCCAACTTATTTTATCAAGTATTTATTACAATCAATAAACAGAACCATATATTTGCATTAAAATCACATGATAGTTTAATTATTTAGGAATCGGTCAGATGACTCTTACATA